TCTATATATATATATATATATATATATATATATATATATATTGTGTTACAGGGTAGTTGGCTGTACCGGAGGAGCTGGTGAGCATGAACATGTACCGTTATGGTTTCGTTGCCGAGAAGGTTTTCTTTACCGATGTGGAGAATGTGACCAGATATTTATGCTAGTGAGGGTACTGTATTCTCTCCCAGATGGAGAGGATCCCTTCCCAGTTGATCCTGATATTGATGATGTTTTTAACAATGATATAATTGCCAAGGGTCACTTTAGGTGGAACTCTGGCGACTACCTAAGATGGCCTGTTGGTAACGCCACTTACAGGCAACTATTTTTACAAGGTAAGCGTTCTAATATGTTACTGAGTATATTTACACAGGTAAATGGGGGAATCCGGTACCAGAACCTGACACCGCCAAGGAGCAGAGCGCAAAACCAAGCAAACTTGATAACTTCAGGCCACAACACACTGACCGTAGCTAGAACGCACTATATACACATTGTTTTAATATATCATCGGAACATAGTTCTATCCATATATGACCACATAGTGTTCGGAAGTTACGAGACGCACATTGTAATTATACGCTATATTCCCCCACAGGGATCTATCCCAGCAATATTTAAATGTTATCTATACATGTTTAGTGGCTCTCTAACCTATATTCACCCTTTAGATACTCTATAACGCCGCCAAGTTCAAGATGTCGCTATTCCACTACCTACAGGAACAACCTGCTGATGCCAATTTTGCTATGGCAGCATTGGCAAAAAGTGATACACATCCAAATAAAATCGATGTATCTATCGGAGCATACAGAAATGAGGAAGGACGACCACAGTTGTTCAGGTACTGACACTTTTGTCCTATATTGACCTTCTGCAGGGCTGTGAGACAGGTCAAAAAGATAATGGCCGAAGATGAAAATGAATTGGAAGAGTACCTCCCGCTCTCTGGTCATCAAGGTTTTGCTAACGAAGCACGTGATCTCTTGTTCAAGGGAGACCAAGATACCAAGGCTTATCAAGAATTATATGAACGCATAGTACCATTCCACAGTGGATCCGCCACAAACGCTATATATATGACCCTGCTATTGGTAAAGGAAACGATCCCATACGCTAAGGTATCTATACATACATACATAAGTATATTATCACCACTACTCTTTGGCTTACTGTTAATGTTAAATTCAGATGGCATATTCAAGCAACCCTGGTTGGAATAATTACAAGAGGCTGGTAACCACTGCAGGGTTGCAGTATGGCGAGTACCCATACTTTTCCTCTGTAGATAAAGGAGTTGATTTCGAAGCAATGACTGCTGCGTTGCGATCTTATGAAAAGGGTTCTGTAGTTATTTTACAGGGATGCTGCCATAACCCAACTGGATTTGACCTCACAGAAGCACAATGGCGTGTAGTACGTGATATCGTTGTCGATAGGGGGCTCATCCCGTTACTTGACATTGCATATTTGGGTCTGGGCACAGGTGACGTATGGAAGGACGGGTTTGCAGCACGTATATTCGCAGAGAAGGATATGGATGTTTTTATAGCACAGAGCTTCTCCAAGAACATGAGCGTATATTCCACAAGGATCGGCATCATGCATTGTGTAAGTTTTAATCAAACACTATATAACTCATATTGTAGCTATTCAAGCGTGATTTCATACCTAAACGACAATTGTTGATTAGTTACCTCGAACTAATTGGAAGGGGAAGGTTCGGCTCAGCGACCCGTCATGGAGCTGAGATTGCTTATCGTATAATGTCAACACCTTCCTTACGTAAGCTTTGGTTAGACGAAGTTAAACAAGTTGTCGATCGGCTTCATGGGCTTAGGATAACGCTTCGTGAAAAGCTTGAAGCTAAGAAAGTACCTGGAAAATGGGACCATATTACCAGACAGATTGGCATGTTTGCATATCTAGGTATACCCAAGGACGCAGTCGATCGTTTACGCACCGATTACCACATCTATATGATGGCAGATTCCAGAGTATCGGTCGCTGGCCTTAACCGTGGCAACCTGGACTACTTCGTGGAGTGTCTACACACAGTCTTAACTTCCTGAGCGATGACATCAAAAAATGTCGTATAAAAATATACTTAAAAAAGAACATTGGTATATATTAAAATCTAGTTTATGTGACCTTTTTCGACAGCATTCCAGGTCAACAGAGGCCACGGTTAACGTGTTATCATGGCCAAAATTTGTACAAAAGGAACATCTTTGGGCCAGTAACTTGGTACCAGCTATTATAACGGCTCACGGACCTCTGAAAAAGATATGTATTAAAAACAGTGATATATTTCCCCTGGCATTCGATGAAGAGGATGGACACTTGAGTTACCTCTTCAGTGGAAGGCTCTACAACCTACGTATCGGAAATGAAATAGAACGTTGTGTAGTATCACATGTTCATGCCGATCCGTTGGAAAAGGTATTATATTTTGTTAAGTTTGCAAGGCATGTGGAAGGACATATCAGCGAGGTAGACATACCATGTTCAGTCGTCGGTCTCCTAGCCTCGCCCGCATATTTAAAAGGTATCTATAAACTATATATATATCAAATATATTCTATTTTAGGTTACCATGTTCAGCTAATGATGCCTACTATAAAATGTGAAGTTGCTGGAAATACCGTACCTCCACCATTCCAGATTGATGTGTCTAAATTGGACTATAAAGAGCCTTTCAATTCTATCATGCTCAAGGATATCGAGCATCTGTTACCGCGGGACGAGAGCGTCATGTTCCACAGATCATATGACCCTGAGACCCAGGAAGTCCTATGCACATATCAGACGGGGACCCTGCCCGAGCAGCCCCTGCCACCGGATTACGTTGACCCTAACTTCCTGAACAAAAAGGGTCAACGCATACACTTAACTTACAAAGGTTTCTACCCTAAACAATAATATGCTATTATATCGCTAATACGTGTCAAATTAATAGCTCGAATGGTCATTTTTAAAGTTGTTTCACAGTACATTCGGCCATGGTAACATTGGCAGTTGTTTTCCCACTAGTGCTGCCCAGAAGTTCCATTTCTTGTAGCACGGTCCAACCGTCGGTGACGCGCCCGAATACAACATGCCTTCCATCCAGCCATGGAGTATGTACCGTAGTGATGAAAAACTGGCTACCGTTAGTGTTGGGTCCAGAGTTTGCCATGGATAGTGCGCCAGGTGGTCCATGATGTATGTCGAAGTTCTCATCTTCAAACCTGTCGCCATATATGCTGACGCTCCCGGTACCATTGCCTTTAACGATATCGCCGCCCTAAAAATTAATTAATACATATACATAGTTGTATATTGTAATAATGAAACGTGGTTATGTTTTCATACCTGGGCCATGAAGTTTGGTATTATCCTGTGGAATTTGGAGCCCTTGTATGTGTAGTGCTTCCCCTTGATGGTCGTACCCTGGCAGAGCGCTGTGAAGTTAGCCACTGTCCTTGGCGTAACGTCTCCGTAGAGTCCCAGTACTATCTGTCCGATGGTTTCACCATCTTTCGCAATATCCATGGTAACTTCATGTGTGAAAGACGGAATATTGGCCCCTTTCACCAAAGTCAAACCGAAGATAAGGTACAATAGATTGGATAACCCTGACATCTTGGTAATGTGATTTTATGTAACCTTCTGGGCGATATTAAAAACTGTATTTTTAAAATGGGTTTTTAAGAGCCTCTAGACTTCCCTTGACCTTTATTAATTTTATAAAGGTTAGATGTTAAATTTTCAGCTACTGGAATTTTATAGAACGAACAATGGAACTTAGTGTGTGGCTCAACGGTGTAGTGGAACGATCCATCTGTCACCCATCAATGACATTTAAAGAGGTGGTTGGTTGATCCACCGGCTCATAATGCCGCTTTGTTGGCACCGACCCCGGAATCCAACCGTATTCCAACTCTACCTAGCTTAATATAGCTTTTCAAAAGCGCTGACGCAGAAAGCTCATGGACATCTACCTCTAATATGCCATACAGGGTCGAGTTTAAAACTGTCTATTGCAAAATTATACATTGTTATACAATCAGCTATCGATATAATATACGTTTATATTTCGGTAAAGGGTACGGCAGTTCGATAGTATATTTTGCCATATTGCCAAATAATATATTTTTGTAGTAATACGTCCCGGTGTAAACCTGTTCGTTTGTTAGTATAAAAAGGACTATTGTGTGGAATCTCGCTCGTTTATTTTTTACAAAAATATAATATTTCATATTATTGGGGTGGCCAACCGGGTCTAATAGCGCGGTGTCCCCATCTAGGTGACTTCTGGATCTACTAGGTGGTAGCTACCACTTACCGTTCATTAGTTATTAATCTTTCACCCGTACTATTTTTCAAAATCCCAACTGGCGATCAAAACATTATTGAAACAAAATGACGGTCGGACTTAACCCACAGTTTAACCAGATCGGTCTGGAGTTTGTTCAGATGTACTACCGCCTTCTGGAACAAGACAGGTAAATACATTATATGTATATACGTGTATATTTTGCAGAAATGGACTTGCTAACTTCTACAATGATCAGAGCATGATGACCTTTGAAACTTTTACATACACTGGACAGAAGCAGATTATGGAGAAATTATTGTCGAACCCACCGTCCAAATATTCCATCCTTACCTGCGATTGCCAGCCTACACCTAACAATGGCGTGATAGCTTTTGCAATTGGTGATGTGGCGATCGACAATGGTCCACCGATGAGATTCGCACACATTGTACAATTGTTCCCCAATGGAAATAGCTATTTTGTTCTTAATGACATATTCAGGCTGTGTATAGGATGAAGGGTCTACCTTAAAAGGTGATAAATCGCATCTTCACGGAAGACCTTGGAGGATCACTACCGAGTTGACATGCCTTAATTAAGTATTTATGCAGTATGTCATTCATATCACACAATGTGTAATACATAGTATATATGGTTGAGGGTCAACGCTGTATAACGCAACATTGGGCGGCGCTACGCGCCGCCAATGACACATGGCGATCATGTAGCCCGTATACAGCCGAAAGTGGGACAAATAATGTGAACAAGATAGTTTTAACGTCTCGGTATGTTATAATCATGTCTATGGGGAATGACGATAGACATGATACTCCACCATGCCCTCACAGTATCCGATGTGCTTACACATCACAGTAACTTCGCGGATAATATGAAACTGACAATGTATATATATAAAAAATACTATTTTATGCCCACCAAGATAGAAACAAATGTTATGTAAAACGCATCACGACACACAGACGGCACACACCCATTTACAAAAATGCGATACCTATTTGCCCTAATAGCGGCACTCGCAGCTACAACGGTCGGCATAGCTCATGGAAATATTACCGCAAGGGAGGTCCTGAAACGTGTGGATCTCGCAAACAAAGAAGAACAACAAAACAGTATGTACAAATATACATATGGTTATAATATTATGCAGATGAGGTTGTATTCGACGTAGCAATCACGCCAAGTAGGTTACAAACTATAACACACACATAGCCGTCCAGAGGACGCAAATGGAAATACACTCCCATTCTGTGCTAAATTGAGTACCATCGTATGGTGCACAGACGATGAAATCAACCAGGCATCAAACGTTCCAGCACTATTCGACATACTCAAACTCAAGTTCGCAGCAAGAGCACAGGATCATACACTAGCACAGCAATTTGGAAAATTAACAATACTATCCGCACTGGCAAGGTTGATCTGCCAGGGAAAGGTACAAGTTATCGAAAATAATGTACAAAATGAAACCAAAAATATAAGAATTACCGCAGAACTCAAATCACCATTCAATAATAAACAAGAATGGGAATCTTTGGTATCATATACAACAGAACTGTCGCTGTATCTCAGTGACGACACATGCCCTATCGTCAACGATGCTGAAGATGTTGATATCGAAAAGGACACGGAATCGACAAAATTCGAAAATATCGCTTTCAAAGTACACCCGGTGACACAAGAAGAAACGGAACCACATACACAGATAAACAATAATATGGAACCCGAAGTCAAACAGCAGGAAACGGAACCACATACACAGATAAACAATAATATGGAACCCGAAGTCAAACAGCAGGAAAATGAACCTACAGAGATTACAACAAATCTTCAAGAGGAACCTATAGTACCCGAACAAGCACAGAAACTTGGTCAGGAAACCACGCCTGTTAACGAAGAAAAACAATATAACAGCCTTACACAAGAACAAGAGACCAAATTTATGGACAAATTTGAACAACTAGATATGAAGGAACACACTGAAGAAGAAGTACATCCTTTACATTTCAAGATATATGCCCATGTTGTAACAAAAAATGATGATACACATAAGGATATCATCACGAAAACCACTATACTGCTAAAAGAAGCTGACTTGAAACAATGCAAGGACCAGCATTTCTACGGATGTATCCGTGAGGTAAAGAAAACTTTATTCAATAGGTATGAGGATCAAGATTCAAAGGAATTTGTTAGGGGACACTTCATCACACTACTGCAACTACTCATGTTACAAGGTGACATATATGTCACGCCCATAGTATCAAACGATAATGGCCTGACACAGTTAACCGTATTTGTAACACAGTACACCACCAACTTCTTCAATTTCAAGCAATGGAAGAAACTCACTGGTGATGCCCATTCCACGGACCAACGTATAGACATAGGGTTAGATATGGCAGCAGAGCCATTGAACAAACCGGAAGATTCACAGATGGTAAAACTAGGTAACGACTACCCTGTAGATGATTTTGAGAAGAAGTTCCTGGAAAATCATCAATATATAAAATTAGATCAAAAACAAGAAGAAAATGAAAATAACAAGCAAATGGAGGAACAGGGTGAAAGTCAAGCTCATACTGAAGAAGAACAACAACAAACTCCACCTAAAAAAACACCGAAACCAGAATCACATCAAGATATGCATAGGGTATTATCATCATATGAACGAGCACTTATGCAGGTACCAAGGGAAATCAATGGATACCAGCTGGCATACAGTGATATTGAGGATTACCCCAACCTCCAGCAGATATGGCGTCTAGGACTTACTACAATGAAACTTATGAAAGAGGATGAGGATCTCAAGACGGTCCTTGAAAAACAGACATTCACGTATGATCAGTTGAAGGAACTATTCAACTTCTCATACGGTGTCATCGCTGTGAACCAATATGAGGAGGCGAGGGACTTTTATGAGAGTGCTAAGATACCTAAAGAGGCGGTGGAAACTAGCTTAACAATGGTACAAAACCTATTCAAGGCAAACACTGGTACCAACATTACCAGGTTACCACCTATTATCAAGAAAATGGCACACACATGCCCAGTTAAGGATATGATCATATCACTATCCACAGATGACCTTATAGATCGACTGCATATAATGATAGGTACATGGATCGAATCCTTCGAGATGGAAGAAAACCCCGAAGGTAACTTCCAACTTGCGGCTCTATGTTCGGCTGCCGCTGTTGTAGTACAACAATGGAGGTACATGCAGCTATCACAGGGCTACCATGAAGAAGGTGATGCTTGGGTATTGTTGATGCAATCGTTCTCCAGGATGGGACAGAGCAAGAGCGAACAGAAGGAAGTGAGAGAGAGGTACAAACGGTTGATCAACAGTAGGGCTGCTAAACAATGCCGCAAATATATCAATCAGGCAGGTGCAATAGCTTACGCGTCGTACAAAGGTATTGCACGTAATTACAACCCACTCTCATTAACCGGCGCCATCGGTAATGTCCTTGATCAGAACATGGAAGCTAGTACCGACGAGATAGTGGGATCATTGAGGGATTATTTCTCGGCAGCAAACATAAAGAACCGCATAGGAAACGCTTTAGGCGTATGTATATCGCTACAAGTGATGAACAAAATGCACAGCTGTCTAGCCGTGGAACAGTCAAATGATTACTCCTTGTATAAGTTGGACCTATTGACTAAGGACACATCCCATATTCTGGAGAGCTTCACTTCTGCAAATGTACAAATAGAGGGTAAAGATGTACCACAGACGTCCTTTGTTCACATGGCATGTGACCTTCGTGACGGGGTTGTCGAGGAGGCATTGGACAAGTTGTTCAAACTCTTATCTAACGAGGGGAATACCATCCTCATCGAGACCTTGAACAGTCGTAACTACTTCCACCCTAAACTTGATGACGTGGGTCAAATTGTAGATGACGGTGCTGGAGACGATTGGTTGGGTGAAGATTATGTGCAACTAGAGGATGCTGAAACCCTATCCACTGATGAAGATGCACCGGAGAAGAACAAAGAAGGCTCGGAGAATGCTAAGCCTGTATCCTTCCTGGAATTACAAGATGAACAATTTGGAGATGATGGTGACATTGATGTGGACATGGAGGATGAAGAGCCTGCTAATGATATGGTAGATATGATCATGAATGAGCGGGAAAATAAGGATCAATGCCTAGGACAGAAGCAACCTGTTAAGTCTGTTACTATCTACGATAAAATTATGAACGATCGTGCACCGCATGGTATTATATCCCCGGATGATATGAGGACTATCATGTTTGACTTCAGGATGATATCCAAATTCGATGACGAGACACTCAAGTCGCTCATGGTCCCATTAGTATTCCAAAAATGGGAATCAGACTATCTGAGGCGTCTACACGCGCATGAGTATCCAACAGTGCTTATGAGGAAACTAGAAGAACGTATGGATAAAATGAAGAAAAGTATGCCAACCGACGATCTACTACACCACGTAAGATCCATTGCGAACCTAGAGGGAAAGGACGAAGTATCGATATCACTGGACAAGCACACCATAGATATGAACCGGAAGCTAAATGACTGCAAGAATTTATTGCAGATTCTAAGTGAGATACCACATGACGGGTTCTATTTTGAGGGTGATGATGGAAAAGAGTTACCTTTCCACCAAATTGGAGAAATCACGGCAAGATCACTGCAACAGCCGATCAACGCTCCACAGATGATCGTCATGCAGATCATCGATCCTGTACATATCGATGACAGTGACGAGTTGTTCACAAGCCATTGAAACAACCATAACAACATTAATCGCAAGCCGGATCGAAACGATACGGCCAATGCTACAATATAGGCCACTACTGTGTAGAGGGCCAGGTGACATTTATAATGTTTAATATAATTACCATAAAGTTATTCGCGGACCACTGGTCCCACGACAACTACATAACACGGTAACTAGAGTCCAGTGCTGCAGTGCCATAGGCCAATTGTAACAGCCTGGACACCTCCAATGACGATCCTTCGATGTCACCGCAAGGTACGCTGGAGCTCACCAGCCGGTGGATATATCGCCGAGCTCCAGGAGAGGTACGCCACATATAATGACATAGTGATATGGCGTATCGACCGCTGTACAAAGACCGGGTTGCAGAACAAATTAAGCACTGGCAAATGGGACGAGGAGGAGGAGGTCGCTTAACCAATTTTGTTAAGCGAGGTAACGAAGGTTCACCCTCTTCCTCTTCTTTTACGAACCAGAATATACGCACAAAAAAACGTAAAAAACGGACACGATACTCAAATGGCGATACTATAGTGGGCGCTTGGCCACTGGCCAAATTCGCAAGCTTCTTACCAATTGATTCGATCTGCTTGTCCCACGTGTAAGGCCGCAGGTAATCGATAATACCCAAAACCAGCACACCAGCAGATGGAAACAGTTGCAGCAGGACAGAATAGTCGACCACATGAAGATGTGCGAGAAATTCAAGATCACGACGCAAAAATTCAAATACACGAACTACTGATGATTCTGAAAGACGCAATGGACATCCTTTGGTAAAGTTCTTGAAATTCTGATCCAAAAGAACTATATGATCCGGTATGTCGAAAATGTCGTTCACAGAACAACAACGTGATAATGTAGGAACATCCAGACAAGTTGACGTTACAGGGTCCTTAACACTATCAAGGAGGACACAACGCTTAAATGATATACCCTTAAGATCAAACGTTAACTTCCCTGAATCGATACCGTGATCGATATTCTGCATAACCAAGAAACCGCCTACACGTCCGTTCTTACGATGAATAATAGAAAATAGACCGTATGGGATGCTTAACATAGTTCCGCCTCCAAGGAGATGCTCGAAGAACCGAGGACCACTATCCAACAGTAACTGGAACTCGTACATGTTCAAAAGCTTAATCATAAGCTTACCGTCATGTGAAACGAACAATGGCGCTCCGCTCTTACCACCGGAACAACGCAAACGAGATGATCGACATAGTGACCTTGCAAAACTGATATCATCACCACAGAAATAATGACGGAGGACATGAAATGCCTCTGGGTAATGTACCAAAATGTCATAATTTGGGTTAACAGTAGACAGAGTTAACGATGTGCACCTTGATATAGCACTAGCTTGTGGTAGAGAACCTCGCTCAAATGCACCAACACCTGCAGATAACGCCGTTATACCACGTGGTGAGACCATTCGCACATCGGAAAGGTTGTAAGATACCTTTTCGTCAAAAGATTGCATAAATGGAGACAACGGAGTACCACCTGATGACAACGAACATTCATTGTAAAATGTAGGACTCAGACAACAAGTTTCATCCAGCTCTGAAATCCTCTCAAACGTATACAAAATATCAATCTGTGATTCTACATAACACAGCATGGTATGGATACTTAACCTAGAAATCAATGTTGCCTGAAGATAACGACATGTCCAGTCGATATAAGAACGCAGAACATCACGCTCATTACCAATGTTAAGCAACAAACCTTTCACAATATGGTCCATCACTGGAATTACACCGTAATCCTTATCATGATCACACCAACGATAGTTGAATAGACGGTGGTTACAAATTACAACAGGGGTCCCATAACATGCCTCGGTTACAGAACACATTATAGGTTGGTCACGGGTAATAGGATCTGGAATACCACCCATAACCTTCGCATCTTGCCAGTAACAAAGTTCATTAGCAACTAAAAGGTCAATATCACTACGAAGCATGGCACACCATGGGCTATCTGCTAGTGATGGGTGAAACCTATCCCACCGACGAACACTTAGCACATCACTTGGTAATTCTGAACGGAATACACAATAGGAATTGCCATAAAACAGAGAATATAGCCGTGAATGACGTTTGAGATAACGAAATAACAGTGAATTCAAAATGAAACCAACGATACGCCTCTTACCAACAACAGATGTGTCAATAAAACCAGATCGTGTCACCGATACATCATAAAAGGCATCCCTACGTGGACCACTGGTAACCATAGCCATCAAACTATAACGCAGATTCTTGCAATAGGACAGTAGACATCTACCCATCATACACAAATTACCAGATATGGGATGATCGAACCTTGAACTACACTGATCCAGATATTCCCTCGACAGCAAACCACTAGCGATGATGTTACCAATATCGCGACGCACGTGCCATAGCATGCCATAGCTCACACAAACAACCGATTCCGATCTCTTTGGGCAACCCATATGCATCCTCGACATTAGCTGACCCAATGATGGGACAGGACTAGAGGTTGCAGCACCGTAGAAACCGAAGGTAGCAGAAGAATTCCAAACTATGCGCAGGTACTCACCTAAGCTATATACATCCTCATTGTCAATATCAGACGTGGAACGGGTTCCACTTGCAAATGACCCTCGACACAGCTTGTAGTAACGAATGGAATGATAAATATCCTCAGGGATATTAATAGCCCACACTGTTCTACATGATCTATCAGAAGATATATAGTTTGATCCACCGACACTATCTTTTATATCACTGCTACCATTCAGCCCGTTAGAAGCTGGTTCATGCTTTGCAGATGTGAACTGATCAAATCTGGATGTTTTACCTTGCCCCTGATTATTGCCCGCCGACAAACCCGCACCAGATTCAGAACTACTTTTCCATATAGAAGGATACACAACAACAACACCGTTGGAGTCCATTACACGCAACCCCTTCAAACAAGATATAGCCGGTGATCTCATAACATCGCCGATAACAGATCGACACAGCGACGTCATGGATACGAAGAAACTTCGTACAGTCATGAATATATGCATAGGATCGAGAGAACTACAATATTGTGAGAACAGCAAGTGGCTAATACACTGGATATATGTTATACGCAAACTCTCCAAACAGTCATCAATGATCTCGATTACCCTGTTCAACACTTTATCATAACTCACGGACCCTTCAGTCCTTTGAGGCTCATTGTGGCTGCTTGCGGTGCGTTGTAACGATAATACCAACGATGGACTCCGAGCCTCAGCAAAAGTTTTAATATCAGCATTCAGAGGTGTGGCAAACGACGTACTTTGACGCGCAGAAAAATCCATAGATGCCGCAGGAGATAACATATCATCGTAGATTTGCCGCGAGTCAGGAGTCATAGCCAGACGTCCAAGACAGTCATCAAGATCGCCAAGCAGGTAACCATCGACGCTCTCTCCCAAAGCAACTGATAAACCCCGAAGCTTCAAACCTAAAAATAACAATACAGATGTGATAATGTACATCCAATTCAGAATCTCGAAGTCAGCTATGCTGGTAAATTTAAACGATTGACAACGGGGGCAAATGACAAATTTAGTGCGACCATCAAATGAACACTTTAGGACATCCAGTAATAGCGGATGCACCTCAATACCGAATGCGTTGCGGTCCTCCCATAACTCCTCAAAATGACGAAATGAGCGGAAATTCACAGCAAGTGGCCACTGGTTACGGGGATCTAACTCCTGACTTTTAAATGTAACACCAAATTCACAACGACATGGTAACTCCTCATATAACCCAAATGTTGATACACAACCGGAAAAACGAGTTGTAACAACACCCAATATCATATGAAATACATTGTTCAAAGCTTGAGTTAACATAGATGAACGATCTTTTAAATGTAATAGCACAAAGTCAATAACCGGGTAATCCGGTACTTCTCCAGTTATACCAGGAACCAAACCGCAAAGTGCATCTGAAAAAGGTTCCAATAGTACAGATAACTTGTTCCAACATCGCTGTAAATGACGATCATGGGTGCTCAAACCGGCCGAAGATAAAGGCAAAAAACCCAAACCTGCATTGAACAAAGGAGTATCAAACCAAGCACCTATATTGAAATTCGTCACATTCTCCACATGGATACATAAAGTAAACCCTTCACCGCGTAACAAAAAATCGTGCATAACAAATAGAGCATGACCACATCGCGAAACGTAACAATTGTTGTAAAGCAATAGATGAACGAAACGACCGAAAGTAAGATCATGAACTGCGACGGTATCGGTAACATTACAAATACGACAACGGATACGCATTAATAAAAATGGACCCGAAATCACAGAACCCGTGTCGAATTGGTATTGTGACACTACAGCGATCAGACGTCGATGCAGAGATGATGAACCGGAGGTTTCCAAATGAAAATGATGACGATCAAGGTGTTCCGAACATGCTTCAGACGATATACACTTGTTGATATCGAGACTTTGGCCATAATCAACCAGAAAGTCACTCAAAAATGAACCAACACTGTAAATACCAAACGGGACATATCGACGTGTTACAGAACCGCACAACTCGCTACTTTTAGTAAAGTACTCGAAACATTCCAAAAATGAATTACTCTTCAAATCGGTACAAGATGGCATGACCAAACCCACAGAAGAAGGCTCGTCAACCGTACCCAGTAGGTGATGTGATAGCCAATCTGAAAAATGTAAATAAACATGCTTCCCATGCGATGGAGACACATTGCCAAAAAATGGCCAATCATACGCTACATGGCCTCGCACGATGCGAATGTAACGTAGTAAACGCTGGTTACGATGTTTAGATAAACGTGACGAATTAATGTGACTTATCCCGTGATTGGATGGTGCGAACTTTGAAAAGACACTGCTACAAGGTGATTCATAGCTTAGATGGGTGCTCGATGGCTCAATAGATAGCGATGAGCGACATGATGCAGAGTTGCGACATGTATTTGGCAAAAAACAAGGTTCATAGTCTCCATCCAATGTACCACCCAAATCCTTTACCAATGTCAACTCCTCAAATAACGCCTGAATATGAAATAAACCCATATAAATCAAATCTTTCAATCGAGCAGAGTTTGAACACGTAAGACGAACGGTAGAATAGATAATACTGCAACCATGGAAACTGCTGTCCAAAGTTAGAGCTGCAATATTGTCACCATACCTCTTCACAAATGTATAACGCTCAATACGGGATAAAAACGGAATGTAATCGGTACAATCCTCCACGCACTCAACAATAGGACGATCAACCGCCAAAGCAACCTTTGATAACACTTCAGGGTCAACTTTACATACACAACATATGCCACGAAGGTGTAGCTTCTCACCAAGCTCGAGAGGTACGCTACCACTACAAAGCAAAAGCTTAACGCCGCTCTTGCAAAGACGCTCAACATGACCTGATACGGATTCATATGAACCACAGACATCACGGATGTCCTCGTATGCACTAGAGGGAGTATCTAAATTACCATTAAGAAAAGACTTTGCTAATAAAACGGTTGGACGATCAAGGCTACGGTACATGCGAGGATGAGATAAACAACCTCGTATGCACAGACCATGAAATACAGATATACCATGACGCATCACCAAACCGAGACCACAATGTAATCGGGGGGAAACTTGAAGAACCCTAACAAGATCATTGATATCACGATGCACATGCTGCAGCTTAGCTCGGAAACCATAACGCAAAATTAATGATGATAAATACGATAACAAATCACGACACAGCCGTAATTTAACATCAAAATAACGTAAATGGTAGAGGATGTATCTACGGACAAGTGTCAATATGTCATGACGCCAAAATACATCATCTCCACAAAACAATCCACGGTACCAAGATACGTCAGATTGATATACATCGATGTTAACCAAAGCAGATGAAACCCTTCGAAACAATCGACGATGAAATTTAATCTTATCTTTTATCACCCGTTTGCAACAACAGGAGCCGACTGGTGGCGACATGGCGCCAACAGATTTATCACATCAATAGCGCATTCTAACGCATGTTGATAGAACCGTAGTCACGCTCCTGGCCAATAAAAAAATGGTTGAACCAGACCATTAAAAATGGTTAATAAAATAAATGCAAAAAATTACATGGAATACCTTCAAACATGTAAAATAGATACCGCACAAACTATTGAGGGCATTATAAAGTTATATCTCCTGCTAACGGTAGGTTAGGAGATATATTTCAAGTGACGAAACATAAACGCTCATTCATGTACATCGGTGAGTCCGGTCATTGCCCGACTTTATAGAGCTATATTATAAAATAGTCGATACAGAGGACCAAATTTTACCATATATTACCAAAGGAAGGCCATTGTTTTCATGGTGCCTTCCCCGCGAACTGAGGGGCCTACAACAGTTAATCTGATCCCCACCGAATAAACCAATTAGAGCCATATAACGACTCAAAAAGAACATCGGTGATTCTAGTGGTGAACCAGTGCCAATGCAACTCACGCCTGCGCCACAAAAATAAATATTCAAAGCGCGCGGATTATTCAAAAAAATAACACGCAAATATATTCAACGCGAACTCACACATTCCTGAGCTTTCGACGAAAAGTGACGACTAAAGAACTGGCATTAATAAAGCCGTAGCGATATTGAGCTCGTGGATGGATTAAAGCCGCAATATACAGCGCTTGTACCACATCCAAAAAACAGGTAAGGAAGATTATACAGCCAGTGGCAAGTAAAAGATTCCTATCAAAAATAAGTTCAGAACAAAGAATTAAACAGGAAAATTCAAAGAAAAAAAATATATCAACACTCGACAAAATGACAAGGATACATACAGGAAAAGTTGCTGACGAAACACTAGCAGTCGTTATCGACAATGGCTCGTACAGCATCAAAGTGGGATACGCCGGAGCAGAAAAACCGCAATATGTTTTTAGGTCATTAGCGGCATGTAAGTTTACACATATATACACATGTCATACATTAACAGATTCGGATGGAACGGAACTAGTAGTTGGAAATGATTCTTTGAAACATACTGAAACAAGAGGTATAATGACGCCAGTACAACATGGAATAGTACGGAATTGGTAAGATATATATACATAGAAAAACACATTCATGTAACAGGGCACTCGCCGAAAGGTTATGGATGCACGCGTTCCAAGATCAACTGAAAACCTCACAAAGAGAACATCCTATACTGCTAACAGAACCCCCGCAAAATCCAAAGTTACATAGAGAAAGATGCACGCAGTTGTTCTTCGAAGTATTCGATATACCAGGGTTGTATATGGCGCCAACATCACTACTCGCGCTGTATGGAGCCTGTAGAACCACGGGATTCGTAGTAGATATCGGAGAAGGCATACCTCATGCTGTACCGGTATATGAAGGAACCATTGTACCACATGCAATCGAGAGACTGGATGTAGGAGGTTATGATCTTACATCCTTAGTCATGGCCAATATAGAAGCCCTAGATAGCACGGAATATTCAAGCAGAGCCACCGCAAACGAGATAAAAGAAAAATGCTGCAAAGTCGTCATGAATTATGAACAAGAAATCCAAAAAATCGATAAAAAAAATACAACATACACACTACCTGATGGAAATGTTGTCAATATCGGAAAAATATCCATACAGTGTCCAGAAAGCATACTCACACCAGAAGTAGGTGGATTCAAGGCCCCCAAACTAGCAGAAGTTATATATCGCGCTATCAAAAATTGCCATCCAGATATGCACAAGATACTATTCAATAACATTGTCATCACCGGTGGAAGCTCACTCTTCAGCGGACTACTGGAAAGGTGCGAAAAGGACATATTGAAAGTGGTCAACGGAAATGCAACCATCAAACTTATAGATGACGTCAAAAATAGAGGAACCGCAGTATGGACTGGAGGATCAATAGTAGCATCACTGTCCACATTCCAACACATGTGGGTTACAAAGGCAGAATATGAAGAATCAGGACCAACCGTTATACATAGAAAGTGTTTCTAAAAAAAATTAAACACTAGTCACGTGTACCCTGGTACTTCTTAAACACACCCGCTACTAGTAAAGGAAAAACTAAAGAAGCATCGGCGTGAACCTTAACAGGGTTACTATGCGCCTTTATCTTGCCCCAAGATATCGCCTCATCAGGATTAGCACCGGAATCAGAACCGTCAAACTCCTGAGCTGTTGAAATGTAAACCGCAAAATCAGCGCCATTACGCATCAGGTTAGCATTACAAACGTGGTGTTTAGCCAAACCACCACCCAAAATTATTATGCCAGACTTACGACAATGAACCGCCAAATCGTTAACACGACGAACGTCACGAACCACGTCAATACGAAGCGTACTAGGCTCATTGCGATGGTAAGTGTGGAAATACAAATTGTCACCGATGGAACCATCGGTAATACCGGGGCAAAACACAGGTATCTTGTTCTTGTGACACCAATAACAAAAGGAACTCTCATCGTTAATCTCTTTGCCTAAGAAATCAATAAATGACGAAGGAGTCCACTCCATACCCTCCTCGACCTGTTGACGGTGCATCTCGTCGAGACGAGGCTGCAGCCACTGCTCAAAATCACAGTAGTTGTCATTAGGAATGAACAAATTACCGATACGGTTCAAACCACTCTCACGCATAGTTGCACCGTCCATATTAAAACGACCAATGTAAGTTTTACCCATGCATTTTATTAGGTCTTCCTCAACACCGCCGCCACTAGTAACCACAACATCTATCAACTTGTGCTTAGCCAAAAACACAAATGCATCACGAAGACCACAAGATATCATATTAGACGTAAATGCCAACCATATCGTACACTTGGTTTGTTTACGCAACTCAACGTCCTCATATTTAGTACCCAAATCTTCTTCCGTTATGGGATCGTCTATCAAACGATACCGCAACATGCGATCGATCATCTCGGCAGCCTGACCAAGATGTGTTGCTTGGAAACCGAAATTCTTATACACACGAAGTAAAGATTCGATAGTTACGTCATCCTCGTAATGCAGACCTTCCACAAATGCTTCGCAGTCCTTAGGCAAGGATGACGGCTGCAACACGGCCTTAGCTACCACTTCAGGCAAACTACTAGACAAAGTTTCTGATTCCACCGGCATCGTAAAACGGAATTGTGATCTAAAATGCCCGAAATAACGGAATGTATAAAGAGAAGGTACCTATGGGAAGGCGGCAACTCGACCAAACAGATGATCGCCAAAAAAATCACACAGTATCAAAAATAATCGACCGTTGTTAGAAAAAAAACGAGAAGATATGTAAAATATTATAATATAACAGTAAAACCCATATAAGGTTGCCACGAGGGGCAACACACCGACGCTACACCAACACAATAACAAATCCCCAGCCACGGATACCGATACACCCTGCAATGTTAAAATCTAATATCCTTATAGAATAAATATCAACGATATGGCGTTGATGATACCCCAGATTTAAAGGACATGAAATAATTTTAAGAAGATCATGGAGACGTTGGAGAATCTGCTATAGACACCGTAAAAACAAAGAAGAACACATAAATGAAGTTATTAGAAGATGTGACGACGGGATCAAACACAAGAGTTCACATATAAATGAGTTACAAGGAAAATGGACACTTTCGATGCTGCGGTGACCTTTATTCCAAGGAAGGTACAATTCAACGCACAAGAAGCAGCTCAAAATGTACTTATAGCATCGCCACAATTCTTTAAGAGGTACAGACTCGAACATGGAGCGGCCGTCCTAGTAATAGAAGCAAAACGTGGCAACAGGGCTTGCGCTAAAGTACACAATGCAGTAGAATACGGAATAGAATATTCATTTATCAAGGCGACGAAAATTCTGGCCTCAGAAGAGTTCATAATCAGCCTAGGTGTCGAGCCTAACATGCCAACTAACATCAAATTCAGCCCATGCGGAGAAACACAACCGGCAACAACACTCACATTGACATACGTCGAACACTACCACCCAAAGCAAGGAAAATGGAGAGTCACAACTGATGATCAGGAATCAAGAGACCATGTCGATGCTACACACAATGATGTCAGTCATAAAACAAATTACACAGATTGGTGTATTAGCCACCCAGGCAAGGATAATAACTACCCAAATAGCAAATGGTGGTACTCATACATAAAAGGGGATATGAACAATGCAGCACTCATGAGCCTTGTAGGAGCAGTATTCGCAAAGGGAAATGTTGTCATACTCAACTTAAAAGGGGTACTAGTGAGGTTGAGGGTGGCAGATATAAGCTCAGGGAAAAAGGAAAAAAATTCATTACACAGGGTAACACAAACAACCAACGTGGCACTGAAATTGACAAAATGTGAAAGTGGAACAGGAACTTGGCTCAAAAATAAACAAAAAGTTCATAAAATAGCTGGAATTAAGGAACCTATTGAAATATTGAAAAAACATGTAGTATACCCTCTAGTATACTCAGATAAATACAGACAATTGGGCATATTCCCGCCAACAGGGGTTATACTACACGGACCACCCGGATGTGGAAAAACTATGATAGCAAAAGCAATGAAAGAACAATACGGACAACTATTCGATATCAATGAACAAACAACTATGATACATGTTAAACTGGTACAGTCAAGTGATCTCATAAGCTCACTCGTAGGACGAACAGAAGAAAATATAAATGCACTATTCAAAGAATGTTCAGATATCGCGAAAACAAAACCCTGTATATGCTTCATTGATGAAATTGATGTACTATGCAGGAAACGAGATGGCTCAACGGAGTTCAATACAAGAAACGTGACGGCGTTCCTTAATAATATGGATGGAGTAGGACATGATGACAATATACATACCAAGAATAAAAATTATGTAATAATGGGCGCAACCAATGATGTAGATGCACTAGATGCCGCTCTAAGGAGACCGGGGAGATTCGACCTAGAAATTGAAGTAGGGGTACCAAGTTCAACAGAAAGACTAGATATATTGAAATCAATGATTAAAGAAATGAAACACAATCTGCAGGAATCGGATATAACGTATATAAATGATTATTGCCAAGCTTTCGTAGGAGCTGATCTAAAACAACTGGTATCAAACGCATCATGGTCTAGACTTAATAAAATACAAAATCATGAAACACAGGACAATAGTGAGACTTGGGAATCGGAAAATGACACAGAAAATACAAATGTCCAACATTGTATCACTATAGAAGATTTCAAAGAGGCACTGGCTATCACACGACCTTCCGCACTCAGAGAGCTACACGTGGAAATAACAAACGTAAAATGGGATGATATCGGGGGATACGAAGATGTGAAGAATATACTCAAAGAATGCGTGGAGTACCCACGGACATACAGTCATGTATACGAAAGAATGCAAGTACAAACACCAAGAGGGGTACTATTGTATGGACCACCAGGCTGTAGTAAAACACTAATGGCAAAAGCGGTAGCAACAGAAAGTCATATGAACTTTATATCTGTCAAGGGGCCAGAATTATTCTCAAAATGGGTTGGTGAATCAGAAAGAGCAATTAGGCAGTTATTTAGAAAGGCACGAACAAACGCACCATGTGTTATTTTCTTTGATGAAATGGATTCTATATCAGTGAGTAGAGAGCTATCGGATTCCGGTGGTGTTAGTAGCCGTGTACTCAGCCAATTGCTAAATGAAATGGATGGTATTAACACTCTCAAACAGGTACTCGTTATAGGTGCAACCAATAGACCAGATCTTATGGACGCAGCTTTACTAAGACCGGGGAGATTAGATAGGCTTGTGTATATACCATTACCAGATCTGGAAGCCAGAAAAAGGATTTTCAAAATATACCTGAAGAGACTCCCAACAGACGGGTTCGATGTAGAGAAGGTGGCAGAGGAACTTGCAAACGACTCCCAAGGGTATAGCGGCGCGGAAATCGCTATGATATGTAGAGAAAGCGCAATGGCAGCACTACGCGAGTTTATAAAACGCGATATGGAGGAAAGGAGGTTGCGCGTAGAAACCACAAATGGTAAGGAACACACGCAAGGATTAGACGAGGCCTTGAGCAAACTGAAGTTGAAGGAAATTGTACCTGTATCTGTAAGACATGTGAAAGATGCAAAAGAACGCGTAAAACCAAGAACCAAAAGTGAAACTATTAAATTCTACGAACAGTACGCAAACAAAAATCCATTCTAGTAGTTGCCATTATAGCAAAACGATGCCCACGTCAGACGGTTTTACCTGAAAATGGTATTTAAGAGATATAAAAACCAACATTGGGGATACGCCAGTTGAATATGTAGTAGTGGAGACCACCGTCTCCTTCACCAAACTTGAGGTCCTAACAAAATATCGGTATATAGAAAATGAAGTACCTCAAAAATAGGAGCGTTGTCCATTATATCAAGCGCATTGAAGACATCAAACCCTTCTTCTAATGCAAATTGCAATGCCATTTCCATTAAATGCTTAAAAGAGATCGTTGTGGCGACGTTGTAGTAGGAATATGCCGCCTTTATATGGCTGACCCTCGGGTTGTTTATCACCGTGGATTCCAAACAATAGAAACTCAACATATCTGTTACAGCGCCGCCTGAAACTACATAGGTTACGGATAGTGTATAAACCCACCCTCATCTGTTTTCAGATAGGTGTATACTATATCTTTTTTGGGCAAGAACCAGTGCTCCACCTCACAACGGGTGTACACTGGATGGAGCTTATAAGTATCAAGATGTTTTTGGAGCAGATTAAACACGCCATCGATATCACTGGCCTCCATAGGACGCATATCGATGACATCAGGAATATCAGGTAACTTATACAAACGTTGTGCACGGGATACGGTCATACGGTCACCAATTGAAGAGAAACGCGCCTGGTGATATATGAACAACATTGGAGTTGATATCGCAACTTACAGTTATTAGCTTGCGGATATCAAGTGGACGGTGCCAATAACGGCATGTGGCAATGGGCTTGGGAATTAAAACGCCGGCAGTGTATACAGCTTGCCAAACGTTACATAGATTTACACGACGCGTGACCTCCCTAATTAACACGGGGGCCAGACGCTTGGAACGCAACTGCTTGTGAACGCAGAGAAAGTTGATCTCAGCGACGTTCAGTATGCGACCGAGAACACTTACCCGGGCAGGAACACCGCTGATAAACCCAACCATACGCTTAGATGATCGTACTCGAACACCTACGTGCCAGGTCTCCTTGTAATCGGGAGGGGTCATGGCCCAGTGAAGGAAAGCAGGTTTGTAATCGAAACGGAACATACTCTCGCCATCCTCAACATAGTTCTCGTTCAACAAGTTGTAGAGCTGAGAGGTATATGATAACGGAAAGGAGGCTAAAAGATACCTGTAACCGATGCTCATCGTTACGCATGTCAATATCGACCCATTCAAACGCCTCTGGAAGCACATAGGGATGCTGACGGATCTTCTCAACGCTTGTTGCGGTGTCTATGGGCCCAATTTTCTAAGGAATTCTGACAAGACTCTAGGAAACTGTAAAACGTACATCGGCTGTCACCTCATCGGTAAATTTACACACGGGCTGAGTGTTCCAAAATGCGTGGTTACCATCAGGTACGTGAGGACGACTTATAGACTGGTTCAACATATCCAAGAGATGGCGTGCAGTCATTGTATTAGGCCGACGACATTGTTCCCCCTGTAGGTACTTGCCATTGGAAGTAAAACAAAAACACCTTCAAGTGCAGCGCATCCAAAGCCCCAGCCAACGTATCAACGTTGCGTTTTTCGGGCTCTAAAGGACATGTGAACCCCCAAAGAACCAAAGAATCTCACCTGGACCCTCATGGCCCTTGCCATTTGACTCCATACCCCGCAACCTCTACAGCTACAGCAAACGTGATGGTGATGCACATTAAAAAGGGGGAACATACATTTTTTAATAAGTCGCTAAAACGCGACTAATTAAAAGTCAAACGCTAACGCGAGCAGACAAAGACATACCGCTGCCGCACACAAGGTGCTGAAACGTCGTATACATTACGGCAATTAAGACGTTTATAACGTAGCTTATTATAGTAACATGTGGCAAAAGGTCATAATTAACATTTAAACGTCAAAACTAAACTATATCGATCCTACATACAACACAAATCAAATGCGACCTTCCATACTCACACCCGTCAAATGCACGCATTTGAAAACATGCCCAGATGAATATTGTGCCAGTATGGGTGCTGATACACCATATAATAGCAAGATATGCCCAGATAACTGCTTTATTGTCACTAATAATACCTGCTGATGGGTTCAAAACATTCAGGAACACGACCATCAAGGTCGTCCTACGCAATCATAAAATGCAACTAGCATCAGCGCAAGACCAATCGCAGGATACGCACTTTATAGAAAATCAAGATGTAGCTAGAAGGTTGGAAAAGGAAAGGGCTGAAAAGGTGACGCAGTATCTGGCACCAATGGAGACGGGACTGTCACCGGGGCTAGACGAAAAAGAAATTATTAAAACATTTGGCGAACCATATAGCCCGGAATATGTCAAGAAAAGAGAAGAAAGAAACAAAAGGCTAAGTGCAGCACATCCGCCAGTCGTACCGCCAACCAACAAACTACCATATTTCGTAAACATGCAAAATCCAAAAAATCCACTAGGAGAAAAAGAAGTAAATGATGCATACAAGGCGTTGATGGAAGCAGAATCGGAAGCTACAACAGAGGAACATGATGAACTGAATCAAACGAAGATAGAGGGGCAGAAAGATAACCAAAACTCAATAGAAGCAACAAATAATGAAATTGATAATGTTAAGCAACAGGAACATACAAGAGTAGTAGATTTAAGACAGTATAATGCTTCAAGATTTGCACTATTACAAGACGATCATCATGCCGGGCCTTTTATAGGTGACCCACTGGACCCATACTTTGAAGCGTCGGCAAGACAGGCATTTAATGACGATGAGCAAGACGAAGAAGAGCAAGAAGAACAGGAGGAGTCTGTTGCTAAAGAGCCTGAAAAGAAGGTCTGGTACCTCGACAAACCATTAAAACATCTACTACCAAAAGAAATGGCTGATGGATGGTCCATCCTACCAGGAGGTAGAATATATAAGCATTTGTTGAGACCATCAGATCTACCTCCACAGGAACAACGACACCCACAACAAGAAACTTATGTATCATTCGGATACAAAGTAGCAGACGCATTCACAGGGCATATCATATTAGAAGCTGCGGATATGAACAGTGATGGCATGATTATGCAACTCAAGGGGCTATCAACACCGTTGCAACAAATGATCGCGTCAATGGTGGCAGAAGAACAAGCAGAGTTCATAATACACGCAAGTGAAGTGGGAATGATCAATCCGAAATATGAAGATTTGAAACACATAGAATGGGTCAGGATATGGTTACACTTAATCATGATGCACGAAAGAGGAGAAAAGTGGTGGCATCTTAGCCCTTTAGAAGCATCGAAGTATCCAAAAGCTGACCCAGACGACGGAAAACTAACCAAAATGGAAAGACTCAATCTTAAAACGGAGGAAATTACAAGACAAGTTGAACTCGAACTTGAAAATAATCCATGCTCGCCACTATGGGAAGATGTCATGCATAGATTAACCGAACAGCAAAAGGCATCAGTAGTCGAACACTTCGATAGGAAATATGAGATGCAACAACGGCAAAGATGTGCTGAATATTCAGGGTCACGGGGATTCGCAGATGCAATCAAAACAACGGGACAAATGAAAGGGTACGATTTAGGAAGAGTATATGGAGGAACAGGAGCTTTCTATACATGGAAGGAAACGCCATTCGTCATGTATGTTGCAGTACCAGTGGTACCAGGGATCAGAGCTGAACATGTACATTTTAACCTGGAACCGAACCACATGCTGCTTAAAGTAGCTGGTAAAACGGTAGGTTTTCACACACTTTTAGACAACACTATCTCAGATCATCGACGATGATATTAAAGGGGCCGTGGAAACTGGAATAGCAAGCAGCTGGGCAATGAGTGAAAAGGTTAGCGAAAACATTACAAAAACATATTAATGTAGGCGATGGAGTACGACCCACTACCACCAGATCACCAAGAATTACAAGACCCGGTATTAAAAACGTCTATGGAAGATGAATACCACACGGTGGTCAAAGAACCATCGATCATAATCGCACTCACTAAAAGAGACAAAGCTATGGGCAACTGGGGAGTACCATTTGTGAATATCTAAACTATTGAAAAACTGTGATTTGCCGCCGCCAATGACCGTGCTATTTGATAGTGTACTGGGTCATGTGACGAATTTATAATGAATAAAAACTCCCGTTTAAGAAAAGAAAACTTCCCATGCAAGTCGTACAGAGAACGACGAGCTGTCACCAAAATGTCGGATTGCTGACGCTCATCAAGCAGACTTAGCCCACACGTTAGCACAATGGTCCTAAAAGTACCAGCACAAAAACAAATATTCCTCAATATGACGTTAATATGCCTGCTACCGAAAGAAGATAAACAGACATCGTGAGCCGACCGAACAAACTCGTTGTGCAGCCTAACAACTTCGAAAAAACTATCATTACGATCCACTCGATCAATAAACTCGGCATAAAGAGGTCCCAAGGCAGTATAGCGGAAATAACACTCCACAGCAGTTAGAAAACTGTAAAGCTCGTTAGTCAAAGTAGTAATCAGACGCAAGATAGGGGCTCGAAACTGAGGTACAACAGTCCATTGGCCACGGTAATGCATATACAGCCATATCGAAACTTTCAAGACGTTCATCAGACCGATGTGCACAGAAGAAATTTGCTGGAAAACTTCAGTATAACACTTGACGTTCCACTATAACAAATTATCAGCAGATACAAATGTAACCTACCTCAGTAAAAATGTAACGATCGAAGGCACCTGCAAAAAATCGAAGAGATGGACCCCGAAACTTAAATGTCGCAGATCGGTCAACAATGTCTTCAACAATAAGTGGAGGACTAAATAGCTGCTTATAAGCGTCAGTACCACGATCTCGAGACCATTCCTCAAATATACCATCCATCACATCAAGTCGCGTCAAAAACACAAAACGGTTTATGTCGTCCATTATATCCATAAAACGGTACTCTGATTTAAACAGACTCAAAACCTTGCGGTTCAAATGAGTGAAATTGGCATGTATTTCCTCACTTAGAGCTTGAATAAAGTCAGCAAAAGGTGGTACGTCACCCATAGGTTCATCCGTTGTGCCTAGCAACCTTAGAGCGTCAGAATTCACAACGTCCAAATAATCAGAAAATACCGAAGTTGAAGAAGGAAGATGCATATGATAGTAACGCTCCATGATTGAACAAAGCTCACGAGAAGAAGCAATCACATGGGCCAGCGGCAATAACGGGAAGATTATGTGCAAACGGCCATTGCGCTCAAACTCACTCATGACACGCTCACGGTTACCCACACCGGTGATCCAGCGACGAAGATACCACAAATAGGGCTTCATAATCGTTACCAGACATCGATAAGCATAAGAGCGGCTCAAACTATTCTCAGGGATCCATGAACCAAAAGTGCCAAGATAATGGACGATCACATGGTCCAAGAAATACGAACCACGTGGAAGTCGATAGTGGACACATGTTATCGAATGGAAGGCATCATCATGGTTTATTCTCGCATACCAAACTATCACCTGGAGCCAAGGATAGAGGCGTGTGAAAAATAAACTGAACACACTCAATGTCTCACGTAAATTACCTTGGTAATCGGTCTCACCCAAATTGGATACTGCAGATTGAAAGGAGTTTAGGAAACAAGACAAAGTAGAAGTGTACACAGATATCACCGTACCGATGCGGTCACGGAAATCATCCAAAGATTCAATGCGGCGAATAAGCTCCACAAAATACTTCAGGCTACGAACAGTGCTGCCAACATTCGCTATATCCGACATTATATTGCTCACAGCGGAATAACCTGGTATGTCCTTCAACTCTTGTGTGGCCTCCAACTGTAAGAAATGGGACAACACACTCTCTTCGCTAGGAACTATATCACGATGAATCCCAAGAGCCCTTCCACCAAATGATAACCACGCAGGCTCAGCGCCATAACGGTCGCCAGGAGCAGATGCCATAAAATCAGCAAAAAGTGCCTTGCAAATCGTCTTAGAAGTATGACGGTGAAAGTCTAATCCTGGCGCAAAAAACTGATGGTATTTCGCAGGGAACAATAGTGGCTCTTTGTTGTAAGTAGACGAGGCCTTACTAACAAAATATTGTGATTCTAAACCCTGTAAGCACATCAAGACATATCTATACCAATCCGAAGAACATTTGTCATCAGCAGAATTTCCCAAAAAAACTCCACGCTGCAGACGACTAACAGTGAATTCAGTCATGGCTTCGATGATGGATTGACGACTCAAAGGAGCTGAGGTACCACTACGAACCTGAGAGTACAATTCCGCCGTGTCAAAGGAAGGTAACGATTGCCAAGTTTTGTAATTTTGAACAATGGCAGAAGAACCTTCATCGACATGACAAAAAGAACTAGATCCAGATATACCTAAGTTGACACGATCCTTCATCCAGTCAGTTGAACTAACTGTTTCGACAGGAGTGTCGAGCAGCATACCAGAATTCACCAATCTCCTATTACGAAGAAGTTCAGCACTTGATTCGCTCTTGTCGTCCTCCAAACTTTGTAGCTGCAGAGAGCTAGAAAGCCACTTTTCGGACAAGTGAGAATCCATGTTAGAACCGTTATTATTTTCCATTGTTGATGTTTTGGGCAAGGGTAAAAGCAACCTTTTATCAAAACTATCCAAGGACTGTTGAGATGAGATAGATTTCCACGCTGGATTGATCTCCAATCGATTCACACCAAACCCAAGTAAGGGGTTAAGTGGCAAAGTACGCAGACCAGTAGATGCGGAATCAAAATTTTTTGTAGTAGGATTTATATTAGAAATCCTACTTAAAGCGCGATCAAATGCAGCAGAGGGCCAAAAATCGGAAACTCTTTGACTGGAATCGCGACTCACAGATGAACCAGTAGAAGCAGTGATCCACTTGTGTGCTTCGTCAAGTTTTAGACCAGGGTCATCCAAAAGACCAAGCAAATCCTTAATATCAAGGCTACGAATATCCTTGATACCTTTTCGAATCAATACGTAACGACCGAGCACAAGGGCAGCAATGCATGACACAGGCTCAGACGAAAGATGGCATAACATTTCAAGCACCTCCTCGGCGCACGTAAATGGATACCAAGAATTTTCAGAAGAAGAAACAATGCTTTGATTGTCCTCTAAACGGGGCAGATGAGAAATTGAACCATACAACTCCAACAAAATATCGAACGCTAGCAACTCAAGATTGAGATCCTTACGGCGCATAACTTGACGGTGAAGACTTAACGCAACTTCAACATAAATTTCTCTACGTTGATATATTGGTCGAATCTTATCTTTATTTGGCAATGAAGTGCTATATGGTGTAGTTGGCGCAGTAGAATCAAATGACACATGCCCATGTGCCACATCGTGTAACGCCTTCTTTCGAACACTACGGTCAACGTCCTCCAAAATACCAGATGCACTAAAACGACCTTTCCTCTTACTTAGACTTTTAGGCGAGGACCCAAACGGCGAACGCCGCAAAAGGTAACACCAAAATTGATCCGACAAATGACTCGATAGCTGACGCTGCACATCAGCAGGATTTAAACCTAAACATATATCAGAAACAATATTACACCTAGATATGAAGTGTCCGACCACTTAGGTGAAACATGAAGGTCGCGGAAAAAACACCCCGGGAATAGGAGGACACAACACTTACCTTGCTCCTCAATAGAGCGTACCTCCTCCGAAGACAACCGTGCAAGACAGTCTGCGAGGTAACGAACCTCCTTCACAAGCTCCATTATAGATTACGACCACACCCCCCGAAGATTAAGTTAGCAGCCATCCGTTTTAGGCAGCTGCGTCTCGCCGATGCGAGGCTAAGGTGTTTAAACTATACATTAACACGCTAAAATAGCATCGGTTAATCACGCATAACTATGGTGTAATACTAAGTGGCTACACATTGGGTACCCACAGCCCATCAGCACGAAGTTCTCCACGCAGCAGCTTCAAGTAAGATTCATGCATCTCCTCGAGAATAGTCACTGCTTCTGCGCTGCCGACGAAATTTTTACCGTCTAAAAATTTGTTCAAAGGCTTTCCTTTGGGGGTCTTATACCAACGGAAGAATTCCATCACACCAGTAGTGGTACCGGGGTACACACGATCGATATCGGCAAGGTCATTGATATCGGCGAAGTTAGGGTCGTCTTTGCGTACCACAAACATCTTCCAGTCGATTTCACCCTCGTCAACTAGCGCTAGTGCGCCAACAACCTTGACTTGGACAATAGAACCACTGGGGATGGTAGTTTGACTCACGTCCACGACGTCAACGGGGTCGTTGTCACCGACCAGCGATATGCCTTTAAAAGCGGGGTCATTTGCGCCATAAGGAACTGGAGCTTCCCAAGTTTGAGGGATAGCGCCATAGTTCCAGTAGTAAGGGCAATCTAGGTAACGAAGGCTACCATTCTTAAGTACATCCTGCTTGATAGGGTTGTTCTCAAGGGTAGTTGAGATCTCCATTTTTGCAGTAGTATGACGTGGAATCTCAACAACCATGTTATAAAGACCACTGCTAGAGCACTTGTAGGGGATGGAATGCCAAGGAGATATTGTACGACCATTCTCATCAGTGAAGAACACACGGTAGTCCGTAGTGCCATGGGCACCGCTCTCAAGCAACTTTACAGCCATCTTGTAATCTAAAATATAATTTAAACAACTAAAGGAAGGGGAAATATTGAGATTCCATCAAAGAAATTATACAAAGGCAATATACAGGACAACGAAATATGCAACACACCAACACCACGGGGACCGCATAGAAAAACCCACCGGGAACCGTAAAATTCGAATGGGATCCTTGCACGAAATTAAATAAACGAAAACTAGATGAAACGTGGCATTGTAGAGAACCGAATCGGAATATATGGGGAATCACGTAGCCAAAGACCGGTGTGTTCAATAAAAGCTTCGAAAGTCTAACCATTCTTAGTAGCAGACAGCATCCAAGAGCAAAAGCTCAGCAAGAACGCCATTTGATATCCAATCAGCCTTTGATTTAACGTGGAAAGGAAAACCAATATTAAAAAACAAATGTGGAAACCACTATCCGAGGCGTTGTTACGCACGCACGTAAAACATTAATAATTGACAGTAAACAGATTACTTATGACAAAATGTGATGCTAAAAGGTCTGATTTGTTATAATATTACACGAAGATCCTTCACAATGAGAGGCAATGATTGACGCGGGTGGCCAGAACGGACACTACAATGTTACCGTTTTGGTATCAACGACCGAAATATACACATAAACAAGACGATATATGATTTTAAACAATATAATCAACTAATTAACGACAATAACGAAAAGTTAGTTAGATAGAACAGCTCTGTAAACTTGAGCCGATAGCACCCACACATTCGCTCACTTTTTAAGAACCTCGAATATATAAGTAACGAATATAACGCAAATTAAAGATATTCAACAACACAATCAAGGATAGAGAACCAGACGTAGAACTGAAGGAGTCACACTTGAGAGTATATTGCCCCTGGAACGCGAGTGACTGAGACACATCGGCCAGTCATAAAGATTCCAACCAAGTTTTAAGATGCACCAATTATCATTGGCCAAAACAACAGGTGGGTAAATGAAAACAGGAATTATTGGATTTTTTTCGATACGTACTCACCGCGCCGCGGATATGTAAAAAGGTAGCCATTGATGAACTCAAGCGTCAATTGTAAGGCGGCTGATGGACAAAACATACAAATAGTTCCATAGTAGGATTCAGGTATACGACACAATACTGCAAGAAAAACACATGATATCGTAAATGTTCAGTGATGAAGCGTATAGCATTACTAACCGACGAACTCAACGTCAACGATGTCATACCAGAGGATGAAAATGTCGCAATCGAACCGCCGCAAGAACAAAACAAGACAAAGATCGGAAATACTGCGGATAATAATAAAGGCAAACACGATAACCTAGAATATGAAACAAGCAGAGATACGACTTTATCCTCGGCAGATGAATTTGACGAAAGTACAGAAAGCCTATCGTCACTTATGCAAACAGTGCCCACAACAAATAGCAATAGGAGCTCATTTGGAAGCACTGTCAACTCATTTATAGGATTCTGCAACGTCACACGGGACATATTTAAATACAGGTTCACAGGAGGCTCAGAGAGTGTAGATGCAAGCTCAAGTAATTTCGAATTGTCGCAGTCACAGTTCACATTAAATGGAATCAATACAGCGACACAAAAACATAAAACAAGACATAGAAAGGATCGTGGAAATCTATCAAAAGCAATGTCCGATATTGCTGAAGATGACCCACAAAGTAGTTATGAACTTGAACCGAGTGCCACGGACACACAACTTACAAAAAATAAAGGAAAACGTACGTGGAATCTACTAAGAGAACGTTCGATGCCCACATCACCTGCAAAACAAAAGATAAGAATTTCACTCAAGAACCTTCTGACAAGGGGACCAACAAAAATACAACACCAAACTGGTGCTGATGATTCGAAAAAACATAGGGGGATACTAAAAAGATCATACGAACCAACGGCAGTATGCTATGCTATATCAACGGATAAAACTGCATTCTGCAAAAGGCTAGGGCCAAATAGACAAAATACCTTCAATCTAGCAAGACCATCCAGGATAAGGTTTACATCAAAACATAGAGACGAGTCGATGGAACAGAGGTTCGCTCTAAACAGGGCTTCACACAGTGGAGAGTCAAAGGAACATGGACAACAATATACAACCGGCTCTGAACGCATGGGAACAGCTGCCAGGTACTTTGGTAGGATGATGCTAGCAACCAAAAGGCTATCGTCTATATGGAAGAGAAATAAACATGAAGATGATGCCTCCGCGAACCTCTTTACGGTAACTGTTGTCAACAGAGGAAGCGCTAATGTCTTCATACTAAAGTATCAGAGCCACTGCAAAAATTATATGGATATAACACCAGATTTTGGGTGGAGAAGGATAGTACAAGAGTATGGGACACAAGGAGCAAGCGGCGCAAGAAATCGCGGACAGCCAGGAGGAGTATGGGACGAAACAATGGCGCAGAAGTCGTACATGTATTATAGAGAGTCGAAAAAAACGACACATATAGTCGGGTTGGCAGAGTTGGCCATTAATATCTCTTGTAGAGCTCTCATACTAGGAGTCGCACATGGAATCATAGATGCAGATGCTGTACCACCCTTCATCAACGATATTGTTGTAAAACAATATGGAGAGGAATACGCCCCAGAGATCAGTAGATCACAATCGTTTGGAACAACGGAAGGGCAGGGTGAACATGTAAAACAAACAATGTACTTCAAGGCGAGTTTCGTTGGGCTGTTTGTAACATCCTCCATACAATCGATTCTGGGAAGCGAAGAATACAAAAAAAGGATGGGAGAAAGCAAACGAGCTTTTAGACGTGATATGGTACCAAATGAGCAAAGTGTTGAAAAACAAACCGTGGAAACAAACGTGTGTCCGTATATACCAATACCAGATTACGGATGGAAACTGCTAGAAAGGTCTCATTTCGACCGTATGTTTAGTGACAATTCGGCAAAGTGCTATGATAAAGGAGCCCTAGTTGCAAAATTACAACGTATATTTGGCAAGAATAATATTGGTGGGCTCACAGCTACCACAGTATACTCCAACGCCGTACTCTGCAAAGTTCAACCGCCACGTGTCAAAGAACGAAAGGCTTTTGTATACGCAGATGTAGGATCTGTTGGAATGAATATTGCGGAACAGCTTTACAGGCTAGAAAGCAAACAAGCGAGGCGCGAAAAATTACCCAAGGGTACGTTCGGGTTCAAGGTGCGTGGACAAAATGTCGCTATTTCGCCGTGTGGTGCACAATTTCAACTTGTACCAGAAGAGCTCATACTAAATGCAGCGACATTGGTCCACGAAATGTATATCACCCAAACGTGCCTCATCTTGTAAGGCCTAGACACATAACATTTTATTTAACTTATGGACCTAACTGAACAGCCACAAATAATTGATGGTATGATTTACATTTTTATAGCTAATTTACCGCAGAACTCTTCAGGAAGGTGCGGTTCGAAGAGATCCTTGAGGACCTCAAGGGGCTCGGGGTGGATGTGCGCGAACAAACATTGAAGAATCCGACACCAGAAGAGGCATTAGGACTATATGGCTTAGCAATACAAGTTATATTTGGAAAAACACGTGTAGACATACGACCAGAAGATGTATACTCACAGATACACGTGTATGACTCCGGTGTTGAGGGGTAAGTCACCGAAAGCATGTATCTCACAACGATTTAGACTCAAAATTACAACCGATAATTTAGAATTCCTCAAAAGAGGTATAGGCAACCTGAGATTCTGGAGGTACTGCCAAAAACTGCATGAAACATTAGGACTGCCGGACATAGAACGCTATGAAATATTTAATCCGACCCCTGAGTCGTTCCATCGATTCATTTCAGCATTTGTAGTATATCTGAGGTTCAGAGAAGCCCTAAAGAGCCTATTCGAGGATGCTGTAGCACGATTAAACTTCTGCGCAGAACAGGAAACACAACTTGATGACAACATACTGCATGTCCAAAAGGAATTGCAGAACTTCACACGAATCAAAGAGGAAAATGCATTAGATATCGATGCAAGTGTCACTGATAAACAGAGATTGGAACAATTGCTATTACATGCAAAAAATGTTTTCAACGAACACAAGGAAGAAAAGGCCAAAGTTGACGCAGAAGTAGAACGAATCAAATTGGCAACGAATGACGTGCAACTGAAGAGAACCAAAGCAAGGCACCTAAACGAGAGTTTAAATGAACAGGTGGTATCGGAGCCTGAGGCTCTTTCAAACCAAAAGGACGAACTACAGAAACAAGATGCAGTCCAGACGGTTACACTGAGAACCATGGAGGAAAAATATGAACAACTCAAAAAAAGAAACAAGATCATGGAAGAGTGTAACTGTTTCATCACAGATGTCAAAGCAAGATTCATACAGCATATGGATGAAGTGCTTAAACCGATGGTCGAAAATGTCAACGCAGCCAAAACACTCAAAACACGCAACGAGACCCTGCGCGAACAGATAGCACATCAAAAACACAAGCTCGATGAAGCTATTAGTAATCTAAATAGTGCGCGGCAAAGCTACGAAGACAAGGTTCGCAGTGCCCAGGAATGCGCAGACTACAAAATAAAACAGGCACGCAAATACGCAGATGACATGCAAAATCATGCGCAACAGATACACCAAGTCATCTCGCAGAAAAATAAAGAAGCAGAATCAGTGGCACATGAACTTGCTAAACGAGAGAAAAACGTCCTAGAGACATTTAAGGTTATCGAAGGGTATCTGCAGAAGATTACTGATGCGTCGGAGGCATATCAACAGAGCATTGGATCGATTGTGGAACGCATGTATAATCTCACAGCGGAACAGGACTAACCAGGGAGCCGTCACAGGTTGTGTTCCGTTTCAGATGTCGTATTAATGCAATGGCCCCCCGAACGGACAACCCGATGTCTACCACACTATCTCAAGGGAGATGCTCCGGGCACTAACTTCCACATGCTGCTCTCTAAACGATACGAAGACAAGATAACTGGTTGTTATCACTTAATGAGATACATTAGGAGATGAGGTTCACCACTTCTAACAAACTAACACTATATGTTATGGTAGAAGTGTAATCCTCAGCGGTGGGTGGATCGGCGGACACTGGGCAAGAACGAAAATGCGATGAAGCTACGATTACTGAACTGGACGTTTATTCGAGACATCACGAAGTGTCAATATGCGTATTGTAACACATTTGGAGCTGCAAATTGACGC